TTCCTGGCATTTGGGTCAAATTAAAGATATGCTAGAGAAAAGTTTAGGAGTAATTTCTGAGTCTTGAGTCTTTTGGGGGTTGGCACTACTGGTACTTACCAGACAGATGCAGAGTGCCCTGCCGCCTTCATTGGCAAAAAGAAAATAAAGCAAACCTTACTGTCTACAGGTTTTTTAAATGTCTTTGATTTTCCACTGATTTTACACAGCTCCTCTTTTAATAAGAGCATCCTCTTCTAAAGACCCTTTGTAAAGTACTAACCCCAGGGGGCATATATTGGATAGAATTTTACCCGTTAGGGCTAGTTCATATGACTTACTTTATCGCATTAGTTCTAGTTAGTAATTCTGATGAGCCCAGGATCCTGAGAGAATGAGATTCAGAAATAGTAAATTTTACTGCATGTTGCGGTAATAGGAAAGGAGTGAGTGATAGAAGAGATCACATCCACATCTACATAATTTCAGTATTCATTCTTTCCAGAGATGACATCACATTTCCCCAGTCACTGAAGACAGACACTTGGCAATCACATTAAGTTTCTTCTCTAAAACCATCCCCACACATAATCAATCATTATGTCCAGCTGATTTTACTTCCTAAGTACCTCCTACATCCATCTCCTTTCTCTCAATTGCCACTGGTATCACACTAATATATGCCACCCTCATCTCTTATAATTTAGCATGCTAGGTACTGTCCCTCTATTAAGTCTGCCCACCTCATCCCCAATCTATACTCCCCCCAACAGCTGGAATCATGTATTTAGAAGGCAAATCTGATGGCACTCTTCTACTTAAAACACTTCAGTGGATTCCAGTTGCCCCTGTGATGAAAAACCATAAAACCCCATCATAGCCTACAAAACCTGGCAAGCTCAGTTCCTATCTACCTATTCAACTTCACTTTGTATTATACCCTCCCTTCTAAATTACAATCATACTCAAATGAATCAAGTTCTTTTTCACTTTAGGGATCTTTATATACATGTTTAACTCTACCTGGAGTACTCCTTCTCTCCCTCCTTCACTCCTTTCCCCCATTTTCTCTTGATAATGCTTTCTAATTCTTCAGATTTCATCTGAAAAGTTGCTTTCTCTAGAAAGCCCTCCATGATTGCTCATATTAGGTTAGGTCCATCCAGTATATACTCTTAAATACCCTACACTTGTCTTTCAGGAATTCAGAGAACTTGCTTATTGTCTGCCTTTCTTATCAGTGTGTGTTATGGTTTGGATATGAAGTGTCCCCCCAAAATTCATGTGTTGAAAACTTGGTCCCTAGTGCTGCAATGGTCAGAGGTGGGGATTTGGGGAAGTGATTAAATCTTGAGGGCTCTGACCTCATTTATGGATTAGTCCATTGAAGTTAGGGACTAATAGGCAATGGAAGAAACCATGGTGTGTGGCTGGAGGTAGTAGGTAAATAAGAGCATGCCCTTGGAAACTATACCTTTTCCTTGGCCCCTTAGTCTCTCTGTCTCTATCTCTGCTTCCTGGCTGAAATGAACTGAGCAGCTTTCCTCTGCCACACCCTTCTGCCATGGTGTTCTGCCTCACCTCAGGCACAAAGCCATGGAGCTAGTCAACCATAGACTGATACTTCTGAATCCATGAGCAAAATTAAATCTTTCATTCTTTAAGTTGTCCCTGTCAGATATTTTGGTCACAACAATAAAAAGCTAGCACAGGCTGTTAGCATTAGAAGTTGAGATACGTTTGCCTTATCAACTGTTTCTCTACTCCTATATCCCATAATAGATTCAGGAAATATTTGCTGAATGAGTCAGTGATAACATTTTATATATAACTCTCTAAATCTAATGTATCTAAAACTGAATTTATTATATCTACCTCTATCATCTTACCTATTCTTCCTTATAGTGTTTCATACATCAATTGTCGCACCATTGACTTTTCATGCTTCTCCTGAAACCAAAGACTTAAGATCAGATGATTTGTTTAGGGGGTAATTCAAGGAAGAATCAGTGATGAAGTAGAGAGGGAGAGACACTGAAGGAGGAAAACTAACATAAAGATGCACTTTTAAGATTACTAATGTAGTCAACAAAGACACAGTCCCACCAAGATATCTAAAAAGCATGTACCATATTTCCCAAATTATCTACCTGAATATCTTTCTGAGGCTGAAAGATATATATATATATATATATATATATATATATATATATATATATATATATTCCTATCAGTTCCTTTTCTCAAATGATTGAGGGTTGTGCCCTGGAGTCATTAACTTTCCATGTACTTTTGGTCTGCTTTTGAGCAAGCCCCATAACATTAGAAAAAGTGCTGGGAAAGAATATATAAATATGTTCATTGTGCTCTTGAGGTAGGACACTAAGAACTAAGAGTTCAGTCATAACTTTCCACTACAGCTGCAGCTAAAATAAGAAGTGGCCCAAGAGAATGTGATGTGAGTTTGAACTTTCTGTTCAACCACTGTACTAGTTCCTATTCTGTGTAACAAATTACCACAAAATGAGCAGCTTAAAACAAAACTCATCTATTAGCTCACAGTTCAGTATTTCAGAAGGATGGATGGTTTTTGCTAGGTTCTATGCTCAGGGTCTCATAAGGCTATAATCAAGTTGTTAGCCTAGACTCTTATTCAGAAACTCTAATGAAGAATCTACTTCCAAGTTTATTCAGATTGCTAGCAGAATTTAATTCCTTATTTTTATAATATTGAGGTCCCTGTTTCTTTGCTGTCTATCAGGCAAGGGTCTCTATTAGAACCTAGACTTTACACTCAGGTACCTCTACATGGTCTCCTCCATCTCAGAAATGGAGATGTTCTTATTTTGAATTCTATATACTGGGATATGTCTGATTTCCTCTTTTGTATTTCATAGAGATAACTCTCTGCCTTTAGAGGACTTGTGTGCTTAGGTTAGCCCCAATTCTTAATTTCCTTTCTTTAAGGTCAAATGATTACTAACCTTGCTTACATTTGCAAAATCTCTTTGATGTTACTCCCAAGGGAGTAATCCAGGGGGCAAAATTCACAGGGAGCCATCTCAGAATTCTGCTTACTTTGACCACCATTTGCTTAATTACAATCCTTCTCCTTTTCTTCTAACATCTAGTCACAACATTATGTCAATTTTATCTTGTCTTCAGTTTCTTCTTTCTCTGTTCTGTACTTTCAATTGCATTATCTAGAGTTAAGCCCTCATCTTCCACCTTCACAACTGGAACTATTTCCTGATTGATTGTTCCTCTTCCAATATCACCTCTTCTCTAATTCATCTTACACAATGCAGTCAGATTTGTCTCTCTGAAGTATAGACCAAATTCTGTCACTCCGCATTTAGACCTTCCAAAATTCTCAAGTGTATAAAAACTAAATCCCAAATACTTTATATTACATTAGTGTATTCGTATTCTACTTTTCCCCACAAATTAATGATAACAACTTATAACAATATCTCATTCAATATTATAATATATAATAAAGTCATAGCACACCAAATAATGATAAAATATAAACAAAATGAAGACCAAGGAAAAAAGAAAATATAATAAAGATCACTGAGATACTTGAGCTTTGCTTTTGGTCCTAAGTTCCCTGATAGCAAAGACAAAAAGTGAGATCTGATCAACTCCATTTGTTTAATTATAAGAAAGGAAAAAGTAACCTTGGATTAGCATTGGATGATGAAATGAAAGATGACTTGCCTCTATTATTTTTATAGTACAAGTGGCAATGGATTTCAAATGATTCTTTAAAACAGCTGGACTAATCATAGCAGGTTCTTCTCAATCCATCTTTGGCTTATTTCTTAGACCCATTCCTGCCATCTTCCCAGAAAGCACTTCTGTCTGAATCCTCAGAATCACTCTGTGCCCTGCAAACAACCTGTGGGTTCATGCACCTGTGACTTTGCTTGGGTCAGTCTCTCTGCCCCTCTTTTAAGGTCCAAGTCAAATTGTATTCTCATCATGGAATGTTTTTGTCACCTATTTCAGAGTTTCTCCCTTTAACATCAGAGGTTAAAAATGTAAATGGTTTCCAACATCAGGAAAATATAATAGCAGCCATAAAGAGATTATTACATTAGCCCTCTATATTTTCAAACTCCTTAAGACCTGGCACTATCATCTTCCCCATATGCCACTGAGGAAACTAAAAGAGAGCTAGTAAGTGGTAGATCCAAGCTAGCAAGCAAGCAAGAGTTCTGACATCAGAGTCACAGTATCCTTAAACACTGCACATATAACTCCTTGGGCAGCAGGATAACCTAAGAGGATGTGGTGTGAACTCAAGAGTTAATACCCTATGTGAAAATCATCGGGGTTAATTTCTTAAAACAAAATTGTTAGCTAAACAATACATTGCTTCAGACTATAAGGATAGTTATCACCAGTTTGCAACCTTTGCATTTTTACCATAAGCTGTCTTACATTTCTCTCAAATAACTATATCCCACACCAGGAAAAATCTTGAGTCTAGGTCTATTTTTCATGAATTTGTCATCTACAACTATCTAGGCTCCTACCTTGCGTCTGGGTTTTAGCCAATCAAAGGGCCAAGAAGCAATAATTTAGTCCCAATTGCCACTTCTAAGGTCTAGGATGGTTGTAGAATTTAAGAATTTTCTTTCTTTCTGCCCAAGATGAGTTCCTGGAACTGAATCTGTAAAAGGGAAATCTAATGGTTAATAGGGTTCCACCCATCATGAAGATCTATTGTTCAATTTCCTGTGACTAAACAATTTCTAGTACTAAGTGCTTGTAACAAAAAAATACCCACATTGCAGCTTGCGGTCTGGGTCTTTCCTCCCTTGCTTCTTCACTACTTCCTCCCAAGCAACTCTGCAGCACTACGCAAGAATCAACCCCATTTCATCTATTTTACCCAAATACACTACACAAAACAGAGTTACATTTCATTTCTGGGCTTGCCCAAGAAGAAAGAAAGTTTTTAAGCATTTGTCTTCAGGTATTGAAACCAGTTTGAGGAGGGAACAGCTGTTCTTTAAAAAGACAAAGAAAATGTCCCACAGTTTAACTGTTTCAATAAAGAGAAGGCCAAATAATATCTGAACTTCAGAATTCTCCCCTGAGTCTCTGAATCAGTTAAGAAAACAGAGGACTCTGTGGCTTTCTGCCTCAAGTTTCAAGATTCCTTTTCAGGGTTGAATTGTGGGTGTGCCCAGTAGAATCAAAACCCTTGGTTCAACCAGAAAGAGAGTGAGAGCGAGAGCAAGACAGAGGAAGAAGGAGAGAGAGAAGAAGAGAAAGAGAGGAAGAGAGGAAGAACCTGTGAAATTGGGTGGGTTCATGAAGATCTGTGAACAAATAAAAGAACTAAGCCTAGAAGGTGAAGGTGAAGCCCCTGTGCCTGAGGTGAGCAAAGAAGTCTAATTTAGCCAGAGACCCAGGTTTGTTTGTTTTTTTTTCCACAAACCCTGCTTTTTTTTCTAAGGGTTTTAAAATTTTTAAATTTTAAGATATTTTTACATATAAATCATTTGATTCTTGGAAACTGGGACAAAGAAACTCACTCATTGTTGTCAAGTGATCTGAAATCCTCAAAAGCAAATGCTGCTTCTATTCCATCAATTTCCATCCTCATCTTTCTTGAATGTTTTTTTCTTAACTAAATTCAACTGACTGTAAGTGATGTGGCTCCCCCATACTTCTTTGACTTTTTATCATGACATTATTTTCCTCACTCACTCTGCTTCAACTTCACTGATCTCCCCACATTCCCCTATCTCAGGATCTTTGCACCTTCTCTCTCCACAATTTGAACACTCTCCAGATTTCCTTGTGTCTAATTGTCTTACTTAAAGTAGATTTCTACTGAAATGTCCCATTTTCTGAGAGACTTTCTCTGATTCTCTAACCCAATACTACCTTCTCATTTTATCTTTCTTATCTTGCCTTACTTTTTATGTAATTTAATTAGTATCCCATTCTTATGTTTGTACATGATGTGAAGTTTCACTGGTTGTGTATTCACATGTGTACATAGGAAAGTTATGTTAGATTCATTCTTCTGTCTTTCCTATTCCCATCTCCCTTTTTTCCCATCATTCCCCTTTGAATAATCCAATGAACTTCTAATTCCCCCTTCTAATCCACATATCAGAGAGAACATTGGCCTTTGGTTTTTGGGGACTGGCTTATTTCACTTAGAATGATAGTTTCCAGTTCCATCCATTTACTGGCAAATGCTATCATTTCATTATTCTTTATGGCTGTGTAATTTCCATTGTAACTTTTTAATAGCACTGATCACTACCTTACATTTTTTTTTTGGTTGTTGTTTTCTCTTTTCAATAATCCTGTAAGGAACATGAGTATGTGGCTATTTAACAATTATAATACCTTCTGCATCTCCATAAGCATAGTGCCTGGCTTATAATAGCTACTCAATAAATACTTGTAGAATGAGTGGAGCAATCAACAAATATTTACAAGTAACTACCATGATGCAGATCTTTCAGGCTATGTGTGAAGGAGGGATGGATAAAGAGTGAGACTCTGTCCTTTCATTAGAGCAAGGCCCTTATAAATTAGTCAAAGATACAAAACTATCAAAGAATAAGTCTCCTGAGATAGAATATGGAATCTGCTATAATAATAGATAAAGAAGTTCAATGGGAAGACAAAGGTAAAAGAACTTCATCTGGAATGGGGTAATTTGTGAAAATTTGGGAGGATATGGGATATGACTGTGATTACAAGGATGTACAGAATAAATACTAAGAAAAATCAAAGGAGAGGGAATTTCAGGTATAGGGGGCAGCTTGAGCATAGGCATAGAAAAGGAAAAGTGGCAGAAACATTTCAACAGGCAGCAGGTTTTCTAGGATTCAATGTAAGCTGCATTGATGAAGGGCAGAATGAGTCTGAGAGGAAGGCTTGTGTCAGGGTTGGAGTTCTCTGGTTCTTTAGACCAATTGTGAAAATAAAGAAGCACTTGACAGAAGTGAATATTGTATACTTATGAAAAACAGTAGCAAGAATACTAGACTATTTTAAAAATAAAATCTTACCTTCAGGGTGAAACTAATGTTTTGTGCCAACAGAAGAGTTCCTACATGTTCATTTGTGGATAGTGAAAAATATACAGGATATTTTTCAGGTTCTTGTATTTTTCTGAATCTGCTTACACTCTTCATTTTTAGATGCTCTAAAAAAATTCTCAATCACTCATGCCTGAGAGAGATTATTGCCACCAAGTTATTTTTTGTCAAATGAGCTATTATCCAGGGAATCTGAAAAAAATCACATGATATTTATCAGGACATTTGCACATTGCTAGTTTGAAATCTCCCAACCATCCGTTGCTACTTCTCAGCACAATTGAAATTTCATCTAATATATTCTGTGTCATCATTGTCATTCTTGTCATTGTTATCATCATCATCACCACCACCATCTCCATATTATTGCTTTGTAATGGGGAGAGGAGATAAGGAGTTACTTGAAAAGATCTTTATTCTTATAGATCTGCCCTCTCTGGTCCAAGAATGATCTTAGTCTGGGCATCTTTGTTATGAGTACTTGTGTTTTTACCTTTGCAGAATCTTTTTCCTTCCTTTTGGCATCAACCTCCCCAATTTTCCTTTCAGGAGACTGTCTTTCCACCTTCAGTCCATGTGGGTCAGGTAGGCTGATGAGCCTCCTCCCCCTGAATCAAATGGTTTGGTATTTAATACAGTTCAGGCCAATGGGATTTTATTCTTCTACCCACAGCAAGTATTCAGAGATGGAAAAGTGACCCAAACTAAGCCAAACTTGGGACTTTTTCTGCAACTCCTTATAACAGTATGTTTTTCCCCCACTGGAATTACTAGATATAAGGATGAAGATAGTTACACCAAGCATTTGATGAGCATTTATCATTCTCCTAAATTTGTAGGGGTTCTGTGTTTGGGATGGGGTCTCTGATAAACTTTATGATTCTGGCATGCTTGGTGTCTAGGAAGTTTCTGTGCAAAGGCACAGAATGCCTGGCTGCTAGGAAGTTTCTGTGCAAAGATGTAGAATGACTGGCTGCTGGGAAACTTCCATGTAAAGACACGGGATGCCTGACCCCTGTGTCAATGTCCTTCAAGAGGAAGCTCTGTGAGTCTTATCAGCCTCGACCTTGATTTTAGGCACATAACTCCTGGGAATAAAGGAACTTGCTTGCTAGATAACTACAATGTTTCACCAAGCTCTGGCAATCCGGGATCTGCCCCCTTCACAGTAACTTGAGACAATGGACTTTCTTAAGAGCTGCACAAAGCTCCTGACATTGCATATTATACTGCAGAATATAACTGCAGAATAAGCAACCTTACTGGTACTCTAAACAATAATGTAGTTATGGTACTAATGATCTGATATAACCTGTTGATATAAATAAACGTGGCCACTTAGAAAAGCAGCCATTTTTTCTTCCTGCCTCTGCACCTTGTCTCTATGTCTCCTTTATTATTTTTCCTTACATAAATTCTTGATGTGGATTAATTTATTTTACCTTCACAATAACTCTGTGAGGTAGGTAGTAGTATTGTCCCCATTTTATAGATACAGAGAATCAAGTAACTGTCAAGAGATGACACAATGAATGACAGAACCAGGATTCAAATGCTGGCAGTAAGACTCCATTGTTTGTGCTTTTGACCGCTACGCTATATTGTGAATGAATGTATGATATTAGCATACAGTTGTTGGGGTTGGAGCTTAGGGTGACTGAAGATGAAACTGAATTTTGAGTAGAGAAAGACCATGTTCTAAAGATGTAATTGGAGCTAATGCAGCTCTTGAATCCAGATTATGTTTATCTTTTGAGATACATGAATCCCTGGATCAATAAATTTATATATATATATATTTTTTTTTTTTTTTTGCTTAGGTCAGCGTGAATGGAGTTTATGACATTTGCAACCAAAGTGATACTGAAAAACTCTTCCTTCCCTTTTGTCTTATAGGGGCCTCAGGTGAATATTATAGGACTATTCAGCCTGTAATTGTGTAGGCCAATCTAATAAATCCCTCTTATAATTGGTTTTATTCCTTTGGAGAACCATAATCAATAAAAGTTCTATGTGATGTATTTTCTGGGAAGTTGATTCCTTAAGTTTAGGGATTGATCAGGCAACACATTCTATCTCCTATCAGCAAAGATTAATTCAAGGGTGGTTATGTGATTCAAGCTGGTCAAATTGAATAAATCTTGAGAATACAATGCAGACACTGGGACAGAGATGCTTTTTTCTTTTTAGGTGTGAAAATTGAAACTTGGAAGTATTGCATAGCCAGCTTTACTTTGAAACAAATATAATAGAAAGTAGGGTGGAGAAAGGGAAATAAATCAGGTCCTTCTTGACAATATTGAGGTGCTAGATAAAACCTCACCAGAAACTAACCCTATCACCAAACTTCTTAGTTTTGTGAAATAATTTTATTTTTAAAATCAGTTTTAGAAAGATTTCTTTCAAATACAACTGGAAGAATCCCAAATAATGTAACTAATGGTTTTGGGGGGATGATTATCCTTTGCCAACTGATAACTGAGCTATGTTATGTACCATTGAAATATAGAAAGATAACATGAGTTAGGTAAGACAGATGTGTAGGAATAGTGGATGGAAAGGATGTCAGGACAATATTCTTGGGTGAAAGAATGATTATTTTTTTAAGACCTAGAGTTGTACTATCCAATACAATAGTTACTAGCCAATGTAGCAATTCAAATTTAAACTAATTATAATTAGATAATGTCATGATTTGGATATGTGGTGTGTCTTTTGTGAGAGAATGCAAGAACATTCTTTGGTAACATGAATAGATTATGAAAATTATAACTTAATTAGTAGATTTATCCACTTACAGATTAACTGGGAGGTAACTGTAGGCAGGTAATGTGTCCTGGAGGAAGTAGATAACAGGGGGTGTGTATGCCTTTGGGGAAATATATTTTGTCCCTTGTGAACAGAGTTCTCTCTGCTTCCTGGTGCACAAAGTCTTCAGTTGCTTTCCTTCACCACACTCTTTCCATGATATTTTGCCTTACCTAGTATTTGTAGCACTTTAATTTTATTTTTTTGCCTGATTTCTCTGGAAGAGTTTCAAGAACTATATTGAATACAAGTGGTGAGCATGGACATCCTTGATTTAACCTGATTTAACCATCCTTGGATGTTAGGGTCTGTAAACAAGTCAAGATGGCGCCTGGCATTTTGCCAGAGGGAGTGGTTTGTGAAGTAACGCCAGGGAACCATTAAGTGTGGAGATTCCTTATTGGTTGACTGCTGTATCTAGTTTATGCTAATTAAGATAAGCTGTGTGTAACATATATATACCCCTCCTGTCCTACAATAAGTGGCTCCCACTCCTGCTGTATC